GTAACCAAGCAGGACTTTGTGGGGCCTTTCCAGACAGACCCCTCCCCCCAAGTCCTCTGCTATAGTTACCCTCTGAATGTACCTAGATAACAGTATCGGCTGCAAATTTCCTGAGTTGCCTTACAGATGCTTAAACCTCCACCAAATGGAAAAAGTTAACTGCTTGATGACATGAGTATGTAGTCCCCAGACTTTCTGGAGCCTGAGGACTGATAATGTTAGCCCCTGTGACACTGCCCTGTTACCTCACCATCAGTCAATTAGAAAACTGTGCAAGAGCTGAACACATGCACTTCAATTCCCTTCCCTCATCTGGCCTGTAAAAATGCCCTCCCCAAAACCCATCATGGAGTTCAGTTTTTTTTGAGCATTAGGTTACCCAGACTCCTTGTCTGGCACCTTAAAATAAACTCTGCGGTTTCCTTCACCACAACTCAGAGTCAGTAGCTTGGCTTTTTACTGCACATGGGCAAGCAGACCCAAGTTTGGTTCCATAAGATCTCAACAATGGCACTCTGCCATAATGATATTAACATTTGCCATCCCTGGATGGAGTGGAATCCCACCTGCTAATAAGGTGTAAGCTCATCACTACATTAGTTTTTCATACCAGAGAGTGAAAGTGTGTGTGTGCACCCAGCCTGGGAAACCTCAGGCCTGGCACCACGTACTGTAGCTCTTCAGACTCTATTTCAGAGGATGACCTTTTTCGCCTTTTCAATCACGTGCACATGGCTCCTAAACATTCTACAGATGCCACTGGGCATCTTAGCCACATCTTGTGCCGTCCTCTCCCGACTGAGAATAGCTCCCATCACATCTTTAAATTGAGGCTATTTTCACCGTATCCTGTCCTTGAACTTCTTTCAACCACAGACTATGACAATTTTCCAAGATGCACCATCCTCTGTTCCTGACAAGACCCTGTGAGTAAAGAGTCTATTGAGAATCTGCTAGCAAGAAGACAGTTTAACGTGACGTAATTCACGGAAATGATACGCCATCACCTTTACCATGTCCGCATTCCATGGTTAGAATCGAGTTGCAGTTCCTGCCCAGTTCAAGAGGAGGGGATCATACAAGGGTGTGAATGGCAGTTAAGGGGATCATTGGACCACCTCAAGTCTACCCATCACAGTCTTCTGAGAGTTTGATTAGACACAGGCTCACACCTCCTCATCCTGTGATCCATGCCTCCTAACCTTCCTTAATTTTTTCTACCCTTTTGTCTTGCAGTGCAATTCTGGTAGTATTGTCAGAGCTTTCTTAAAGTTCACAAATTCTTCTTCTCCTGTGTTTAACCTTAACTCATCTGTTGCATATTCCATTTTCAGTCATTTTGTATTTCTTATTTCCAGACTATCTACTGTTTTCTATATCACACAAAGTAATTTCCACAGCCTTGTTATTTCATCATATTCCACTACTTTTATTTCTTGAAATACATTAATATATTAGTTTTAGTCTTTATTTACAATTTCTGTATCCAAAGTCCTCATGGGTTTGGTCTCTAGGTTTGATGTTTTTGGTTAATTCTGATCATTGCTGGCTCAGTTCCCCATATGTTTTGATTTTCCATTTGATTGGATTTTTGATTGTGAACTCATATTACTTGGAATTTTACCTAAAATTCTGCCTTTTCCACCCTGCTCTGCCTATTTGGATCTATTTTCACCACATCAGGTATGTAGCCCTCTGTATCCCTTCCTGTGACGCTGCCTCAGTTTCACAAGATCCCTAATCTGCTGTACCTGACTCTCTGCTTCCAGCTCTGCAAACCTCTCCTTCCCTTGGTCCTTTTAAGCCTAAAAGTGGTAGCAGTTCATTTTGCCGTTATGCTGTGGGGACAAGGTTGCTGCCTCAGTCCCTGTGGGGCTGCTATTTGCCCTATCTTTGTAAATAGCCCCACCCTTTTAAAAAAAATTAGCTGCAGCAGATCTTCACTGGGGCACACGGGACCTTTAGTTGTGGCACATGGGATCTAGTGCCCTGACCAGGGATCCAAGCCAGGCCCCTTGTGTTGGGAGCGTGAAGTCTCAGCCACTGGACCACCGGGGAAGTCCCTAAATAGCCCTTTATCAATCAACTACCTGATTCAATAGAGAGTCCATACTTGACCCAGCTTATGTGCCTTCCCAGCCTGCTCAGCCCTGCCGGCCTTCCGAACACTGGCTGCTTCCCAGCTGGAGTGTCCCATTGTGTCAGCATCCCCAGGGGTTAGGTGACGGCTGTGGGGCAGCCTCTGTCACATCCACTGCACCCGCAAATGTGCCCGCGGTGCCTCTAGGTCTGACCTGCCTGTACCCACGCAGCCTCTGGCTGTCCCAGTGGCTGCCCAGAGAGGCCAGGTTACAGAACCCAGAAATGCAGGGAAGTGAACGCCCCAGGGGCGAAACGTGGACCAGAGAGGTTTAAGAGAAAGAGAGGATTAAACCGCTTGCCCTTTGCCCCTGCAGGTGACTGTTCTAAGAGGCAGGGGCTCCCCGTGTCTCTGGGAGAGGTCCCACACGCCCTGGTGACCAGGGCTCTTCCTTGTGAAGCTATGGCCAGCTCAGGAATAAACCATGTGTCCTGTTCTTCCTCTCCCAGCCCCACTTCCCTTTTCCCTTCACTTTGTTTCCTTGACTCACACATCCCAATATGGCAATTACTACACAGGCTTTTTGCGTCAGCCTCTGCTTTCTAGGGACGGAGCTAAGACAGGCACTGAGGGGGCTGTCCTTTGAGGACTCTGGCTCTGTGTGGGCCTCAGACAGACTCCCTCCTTCCCAGCCCAGCCTTTGTCTCCTTGTCTCCTCACTGCAGGGGTACAGCTCATGAAGACCAGGCTCCCGACCTCAGGGACCCCACGGTGCCCAGGCTGATGCAGGCTCCAGTTTTCTTCATTTTTCTGAATTTGCATCCCAGGCTCTGAGATCTTTCTGGGCTTTTCTGCCACATCAGTCATTTATTTTAAAATAGTCACCCAGTTTCTTAGGTAGTCTGAACCAGAAGGGTGGCCCCAGACTTTCTCATTGACTATATTACCTGGAAACCCTCTTTCTATTTTGCATTTTTTTTCTCTACCTTTTTCTTTCTTTTCCTCAGGCCACTGTCTTTCATCCCTTCCAGGATTTGACGTAGGCATAGCCTCTGGAAGGCAGAGACTCCAGACTGAACCTTTGGGATTCAAAGTTCTGCACCCCATCCTACCCCCAGCCTCAGCTCAGGGCTCCATGAATCTGCTAGAACAGGCCAAAAGCAGGCAAGCACACTCCGTGGATCTCCTGGAGATGCTCTCGGGAGGATGCGGACTCGCCGTCTCATCATGCTGAGTGCAAAGCGGGCACACGCGTGGGCTCAGCCCCCCAGCCACCCCTGCCTCTCACACACAGAGGCAGGGCTGAAAGAATGACTCAAAAGCATTTCGAAAATAGCTGCCCATGGCTCCTGCCGGTCAACTTACGTACAGCTCTGACTCTCTGAGCAGTGAGCGCCCCTTGGTCACAGTGAGGTACCAGATGCCATCATCCGTGAGATGTCGCATCGGCCCGTGCACCCCAGACGTGTTGTTCAGAATTGGTCACCCGGCAAATGAAGGGTCAGTGGAAAAGTAGCTGCCAATAGCGACAGAGAAGAATGGGCAGTTTCACGAACCCTGTGTGTGCCAGCTGCCTGCCTTTCTGAAGGTCTGCTTGACTGTTCCCCCCGCCGGTGTTACCTGAGCAGGAAGCCTTCTGAGCCCTGGTCACCCACAGTGTGGTGTCTCCAAAGACCACCCTGGCGATGGGGGGCCCAGGTGCACAGCTGAATTCGAGGAGCTCTTGAAGGGAACCAGGCAGCTTTTCCATGTCGGCCTCCAGGGAAAAATCCATTCAGTTACAGGACTGAGACCTGGCCCCCTTGTCCAGCTGCCTCACCCCTTGACCTGAATGTCAGTGACCTCTGGATGTTCCCCAGGGCCCCGGAGAGTGGCCTGGTGGGCCTCATGACCTCATCCTTCTCCTCCCCACCGGGCCTTTTAACTTCTCTGTCCCTCCTCCCTCATCCAATCTCTGCTTCCCTCCCCAACCCCGCCCCACCCATGTCTTCAGCAGATTCCTTGTTCACTCTTGTGCTTTACCATTTTCCCTGTGTTTGGTAAACTTTGTGAGTCAGTCACTGTCATTTCTGCGTGTTTTGGTGTGAGGCAGAAGCCTAGCTAAGCAGGCCTTGAGGTGTGCATCCATCAGGGTAAAAGAGGCGCATGGCTTCAGGTCTGCCTGCAAAAGGCTTCTGAGTGTGGGGGGCAGGAGGGGTGCTCAGTGAATACATGACTTGTTCTCCTGAATGCTCCCCCAGAGCATCCTTTTCAGTCTTTCTCACAGAAGTCCTTTCAAGCCGAGCGTTCTCTCCTGATGCCGGGCTTTCTCTCCTTCTCGCTCCCACCAGGCACACCTGCTTTCTGCCAGCCTGTCTGTCTGTGTGTCTGTCTCTGCACCTGTCTCCACTCTCCTCCCCAGCTCCTTCTCCCTGAGAAGAGCGGGAGGTGAGTGGGGACTCAGAACAGGGTGCAGCCCCCGGGCTCGGCCTGGAGAGGAGGGATGGAGACATCTGCTGGGTGACTGCTGAGTCCGCCTGGCCCTGCCCGGTTTCTCGACCTTTCCAGGCAGAACTGCTTCCCCTCGTACTCTTCCATCTGGGGAGAAGGAGCCCCGAGGTTGAGTTCCAGTGCCCCACCCCTGGCCCTGCACCCAGCGCCTGCGCCCACCAGCCATCTGCCCCCTTTCACCATTTCCCCTTCACCCTGTGGGGGGTCCCCAAGACAAGCACACTTACTCGGAGATTTTTAGGGCTTGGATACTGTTTCCCGAGAAGCCTGGGATCTCCCAAAGAACAGGGCTGAGCTGGGCTTGACTGGGTGACCACAGCGCCTCTGAGAGAGGCCCTGGAGTGGGGCGCAGCCCTCGGTGAGGAGGAAGGCCCGGCTGTGGGAGCTCTCCAGGTCCCGCTTCCCCCCTCAGGCGCTCACCCCCGGCGGCTGTGGGCGGCGGCCGCCCCTCCAAGCTGCCCTTGTGACTGGCTCCCTCTGGCGGCTGCGGCAGGAAGTGCTGACGAGGTAAAAGTGCAGCAGTGTCCACGTAGGTCAGGACACAAGGTTCCTGTAAACCCCCAACAAGACAAATGTTATTCTCTGTTCTGCAACCTTTTACCTCTATAGGAGTGGCAAAGTGTTATGTCTTTAAGGTCAGAACCTTGAGAATGGGCTCTCCGGCGTATTTCAGGCTATAGGCAGCATTCTTAACTGGAAACAAAAGCAAGAGAGTACAAAGGTTAGGCGGAACAGATCCGATACGGAGTCAGGTTTGTTCTTCCCTGTTACAAGGGGACCGTGCTGGCGCCAGGACACAGCAGAAGATAAGCACGTCCCTGCCTTCACGGTGCCTCTGTCTAACGGGGAGACAGACATCAAACACGCTCCACATTCAGGAGGGTGCTGGGAAGGTGGGGCCGGTCCTCCGAAGACGAAATCAAGGACTGAACTGATGGGGTGGGGGATCTAGAACAGCTGAGAGGGCTGGGGAGACCGCTTTGTGGAACCCACTTGCCATCTAAAGAGACAGCCAAGGAAGGAGAGGAGGGGAGCGAGGAGCGGGGAGAGAGGAGGGGCGGAGGAATGGGAGGAAAGGGCGAAGGCCAGAAAAAGCTTAGAGTGAGGACCTGAAGCGAGTTCAGAGCTGCTGAAGCGTGGTGTAGCAGGAGTTTAAACCAAGGGATCCTGGCCAAAGGAAGAAGTGTGGTTCACGTAGAAAATGGGCTGCTCTTCTGTTCCCCTGTCACCAGGCTGCAGAAACTTTTCCGTGTGCCCATTTGGCAGAGAGACAAAGCCTTGAGGCCACCTCTCCCTCACTCCCACTCCACCACTGGCCGACTCCAAAATCTCGCAGAGAGTGGGACAAGCGGGCTGCTCTGTGGGACAGCTCCGAGGGGTGTCTGGCTTCCAGTATATGTCGTAAATGACCAAAAGCTTTAGATCAGGGCCTTCCAATAGTGTCCAACAGCAATAGCCACCTACATAATTTCCTAGTAGAGATTGTAAAAGTAAGGAGAAACACGTAAAATTACTGCTATTAAAACATTTTATTAAACCTCATACCTCTAAAATATTATCATTTGAACATGCAATTAACACAAAAATTATGAATGAGATAGGCAACATTCTTTTTTTTTCATGCTAAGTGTTCAAAAGCCTGGTAAATATTTTATACTTACATGCCAGCGCAATTAGGACTAACCACATCTCCAGTGGTCCATAGCCACATGTGGCCCATGACCACTGTGCTGGAACAGTGCAGCTCCAGACACTGCAGTTTTGAAACCATGACTCCCAGGAGAGACTGACCCACCAGCACAGGTTTCTGCCACCTTTCAGAGAAGCTTTAGAAGAATCTTCAGGACATGCTAAGGTCAGGCTAAGTTGTGAGCTTGGCCTGTAGTGCAGCCTTGACCTCCACCTCTGGCAATGCACCCATCAAACATGCATCCCCAAGACTGCGAGTCTGCCCTCAATTCATCATGCCAACATTTTTTTCTCCCCAAAGAACTGAATGTAACTGGTCTTTTTTTAAGTCTCCAAGTGTATTATTACCTGCAGATGCTGAAAGAGGACATCAGAGCCAGTGTGATACGGTAGAAAGAACACTGTGCAGGGCATCAGAGAAGAGAGAATCCAGTTGCTGCTCATCTTTTACCAGACCTGTGGCCCAAAGAGAGTCACGAGTTGGTACAGGGCGCTAAGCAAGAGCTACAAGTCCAAAGTCAAACTGCAGCTCTGGGTCCTGAACTGTGCCCTTTTCTGGGCCTTTGCATCCTCTTCTGTAAAATGGGACCAGAACCTGCTCTTTGCGTACAGACAAGGTAACCACCACAAAGCACGCAGCACAGGGCTTGGCTCGGGGTACACATTAATAACTAGGATGATGATGATGATGATGTTATCTTTGCACCTCTGTTTCCTTAGTTGTGAAGTGGAGATAAGCATGCCTCATGAACCTGCTTTCTAGGTTCTGTGAGGCCTACAAGAAACAGTGTGAATGCACTTTATGAAATTCAGAAGCCCTTTATCGAATCCAAAAATGACTCTTCAGTTTCACAGCCTAGCTGGTGGTCTGACTTTAAGCAGCACTTACGAATTCATAATTGGGAAGTGGAGTCTGTGCTGTACCCGCAGCTCCATGACTGGACAAGGCAGGGCCTAAATGCCCAGCTTCAGCCCTCTTTTCCTGGGTAAAGTCTGACTTCAGCTCTTCTTTATCATCTATATGATGGGCTGAGTACACACAGCTCTCAGGTCACTGGGCTGAGGGTCAAATGAGCCCCTGACTATAATGTGCCTGGCAGAGGGCCTGCCTGACTCGGAGCCCCGAAGGAGACCTTGCTTCCCACACACACCTCAGCCAGGCCTGGGCCAGCAGTTCATACGACGACCAGAAGGTGGAGCCCCAAGGCTTTCATTTAGGAAATGATTCCCCAACCTCCCCAAGAGGCATTAATGGTAAACAATCCACTTGCCAATGCAGGAGACCCAGGTTGGACCCCTGGGTTGGGACGACCCCTTAGAGCAGGAAATGGCAACTCACTCCAGTATCCTTGCCTGGAAACTTTCAAGGAGCATAGGAGCCTGTGGGCTTCAGTGCACGGGGCTGCAAAGAGTTGAACATGACTGAGCCACCGGGCACTCAATTCACCAGCCTGCTCCTCCCCGCCCATCAACAACCCCTCCATTTTCCATTCCCCCCTCACCTGCTGCTCTCTCAAGGCCAGGAGGAAAGCCCTTTAGGAAGGAATGATGGTTCTCTACTCCGAGTCTGCCCAAAGGTGTCACTCTGGGTTTGGTAATCTGCAGAGAAATAGTCAAGACACTGCATGTACGTAAATTTCTGACCTGGGGTGGACTTCCTGTCCACTACCCCTCAATCCACCAGCTGAGTTCTTGGAGTTACTCTAACCTCCGCAGATTTCAGGTTCCTGCCCTGAAAGGGAATTCCTGTGGGAGAGCTTTGTGAACTGTGGGCTAAGCTGCGCATGCCGTCATGGCCATTGTTCTCACTGTCCCCATCCTGGGGGCTCCACCATGTTGGATTCCCTAATGCAAGAGGGAAACTCCCCCGTTGGCTGCCTGACTGTTAAGTTCTCACCTGAACATCAGCGCTGCTCAGACAGGGTCACTCCACAATAACAAAAAGACTGGCCCCACCCTCCCACATATACCTCTGGACCAATGTTGGTGATTGTTGCCCCGTTACCAGGGACAACTCTAGCCCATTTCTATACTCCCATGTCCCGGGTAAAATTTATTAGATCCCAAATCACGGAATTCCCCTGCTTCTTGGCAGCAGCCAATCCAGAATTGACTCTGCCTCCTGGATCCCTGCACAGACTCAACCAGCCCAGGCCCAGATCCTGTTAAGTCCCTCCCAAGTCACTCAAGAATCCTTATCAAGGGAGCAGCTGGGATGGAACAGGATCACAGGCAGTGAAGAGGGGATTGCCAATTTTAAGGGGATAGGCATTAGTGTTCAAAGTCCCAGAGACCCCAAGAGAAGTGGCACATTGAGTGGCCCCCCAGTATGTGAGGCCCATCACCCACCCTCTTCACTCTATACAGCTTGGTCCTTCTGGCCTGTGCTCCCAGGTGAAAGCTTCCACCAGAACCTCTTAGTAAGAGAATTTTCCTTCCTCCATGAGTCCCCTGAACGCAGATTTTTTATTACCCTGTTTGGGACCTTCTTGCCTTGAATAGTAAGTCTTCATTTCCTGAGGGCCCACAATGTTCCAAGCACCATATGACATGCTTTACATATGTCATTGCTAATCCTCACACTATCTTTGACTTATGGATAATTAGCCTAATTTTTCACAATAAGGAAACTCTGTCTCAGAGAAATAACTTTACCAAGGTCAGACAGCTTGAGTGGCAGGGTCAGGATCTGAACTAGGACAATGTGACTCCCAGTCATTGTGGGTCCGCAAGCTCTTTACCAAACTGTAACTTAAAGGCTTGCCAGTTTCACCTGTATATACCACTCCCTCCCAAGAACGCAGCTACTGCAGATTTCTTTGGTTATCAAAGCCATGCTCTTTGAGTAAAACTGAGGCGTATCCCACAGCCAGAGGTTGTCTGATGGGCTGGGCTATGTGTGCTGACTGGCTGTCCAGCTTGAAGCTCTGGGCCTCGGGGAGTGCTGGGGAGAGGTGGAGACCCCAGGAGGGGGAAGACAGCACCAGGAGGACAGAGGCAAGACAGACCACTCCCCTGTCCTTTGGAAAATGGCTGATTGCTCAATGTTCCCAGAGCGGTCTCTTTTTGCAAGCTTGAAATGTGGAAGCCAAACCCAGATCAAGACCATGGAGGGATCGGGTAAAGACCCTGCCCTGTTCGTGTCACAAACAAATAACTAGCCATGTGCACAGGGTGTGGCACACAGGATGTGCTTAATAAATAACTGAGGGACTCGCTGGTGGCCCAGTGGTTAAGAGTTTGCCTGCCAAAGCAGAGGACACAGGTTTGATCCCTGGTCCAAGAAGATCCCATGTGCCGTGGAACAGCTAAGCCTGTGCGCCACAACTACTGAAGCCTCTGAGCCCTAGAGCCTGTGCTCCAAAACTAGAGAAAAGCCTGAGTCCAGCAACAAAAACCCAACACTGCAAAAAAAAAAAAACTTAATAAATAAATACCTAATAAATCAGTGCGCAAACAAGTGAGTCAGGCTGGTGATGTGTGGCACAGGTACAAAAATTACAATGCAGAATAGCGGTGGTTAGCAAACACTATTTAAGAGTTAGCCTGCAAATGAAAACTCATATTGGAATAAAGGGACACTTGTGCTTCAACTTGCAAATGAGCCTGTAGAACTTCTGCCTGATTCTGTTGAGGTTTAGAAATATTCCAACCCAAAGGAGACTCCTGGAAAACGACAGACACATTTTCTTTTTACTTAAAAATTTTTCCCCAATATTTATTTCTGGCTTTATTGAATATAACTGACATACAATATTAAATAAGTTTAAGTGTTAATGTTTAAGTTACTCTTATTATGTGATGATTTGATGTATGTATAGATTGTAAAATATTTACCATAATAAGGTTAGTTGAAGCTTCGTTTACCCTGTTCCTGAGCCCAAGTTTATACTGCTCCCCACATGAAAGTGAAAAAACAGTGAAAGTGTTAGTCACTCATGTTCAACTCTTTGTGACCCCATAGACTGTAGACTCTGTCCATGGGATTCCCCAGACAAGAATACTGGAGTGGGCTGCCATTCCCTTCTCCAGGGGATCTTCCCAACCCAGGGATCGAACCCAAGTCTCTGGCATTGCAGTCAGATTCTTACCATCTGAGTCACCCATCTGAGCGGGGAAGCCCGCTCCCCACATAAAAGGCCAATAAATTGACAGACGAGGTGTGGAGACAAGGAATAACGGCTTTATTTGGAAAGCCAGCGGACCAAGAAGATGGGTGACCAGTGTCCCAAAGAACCTTCTTACCTGAGTGAGAACTCAAGAGTCCTTTTATACTAAAAGCAGATGGAGTGTGGCTGGTTACTGCAGACTTCTTGGTGCTGGCCAGACCCTGGAAGGGATGTAATAATCCTTTGTTATTACAGCTGTCCAGGTAGGTCTTGTCACAATGAACCTCCAAGACAACTGTTATTCTCTGTTCTGCATCTTTTTATCTCTATATGGATGGAAAAGTGTTACACCTTTAAAGGTCAAGCCTGAGAGGCAGAGCATTGAGAAAGGGCTACTATGTATATTTCTGGCTATAGGCATCATTCTTTTACAAGGTGCAGAGCCAGCAGAACTCAGCATAGCAAACAGAGCACAAAGGTGAGAGCTAGAGAACTAGTTTCGATGTGGTCCCAGGTGTGTTCTCTGTTACAGCTCCTCTCTGTCAATGCCCACTCCACAATCTTGTAGGAAAAGGGGTGAGGGCCATTCTGGCTACTTCCTACCAAACAGGTGTGAAGATAGGGTCATTGTGTAATGGAAATGGTCAACTTGGGGCTGCAAGTACTCCTGAGTCCCAGGCTGGGCATGAACAGTTTGAATCATGGGGATGTGGATACCCTTTTTATGGCCCGGTCACAACACTTAGACAAGCACTTGAACATACACATAGACTTGGAATAAGGCTGCCCATGATGCTCTGCCTGTGAACTTTACATCTTCAAAAAAAGAGGGTTATTTTCCCCCTTTGGCCACACTTGAAATAGCTTTATTAAAGCATTTCCTTTCCAAAAAGTGGCTGTCACCAGTGTAGTGAAACCAAAGAGAAGAGCAAGAGTCATCATCAATTATCTGGTAAGAGACTTGACTCAAAACAGCAACTTAATATTGCCCAGCATCTCACAAGGCCAAGTCTGCTTTTCTTCATCCCGTCCAGTCTCTGGAGGAGTGAGTCCTACTCAGGTGTGGTGAATCCATGGTCTTATCCTGGCTAATTTATCAGAGGAATGAGTTCTGCAGCACCTTTTATGGTCCTGTCCACTTAGCAGCAAGTTGATGCCCAGGTCCTTGTTCTCTCCAGGTTTTGAGGAGGACTCGATCCCCCGGTTGGAAAGGGTGCCGTGCCATCTTAGTTGGGTAGGTGGATGTATTGGACGCAAACTCACAAATAAAAGTTCATATAGTTCAACTACGTTAAGTTGGCAACTGCTAGGTCCTTTAAGACATCTACAGATTCTCCTACCCAGGCAGACAGCTGGAACAGCCTACCACACAATATTCCTGAGGGCTTACTTCTGGGAGCCACTCTAATCCATTGCAGGGCAACTGGCAAGGCCTTACTCCAGGTTAGTCTCCTGACTTATTTCAGCAGTGGTCTCTTTCAATATGTGATTCATTTTCTCAGTTTCTCCTGTTGATTGTAGTCTTCAGGATGAAGATAGTTTCCAACAATATGCAATGCTTTAGATACCTGGTGGGTTATACTGGAGACAGAAGCAGGCCCATTGTCACTTTGAAGGGTGAAGGCAATCCAACCTGGAGAGAGTCCCTTAGGAGGGTTTTAACTACTTCATGGGTTTTCTCTGTCTGGGTGGAATATGCTTCCCCGCACCCTGAAAAGGTGTCCACAAGGAATTCCCTAGTGGTACAGTGGTTAGGAACCCATGCTTCTACTGTTGGGGACCTGGGTTCAATCCCTAGTCAGGGAACTAATATCCCGCCTGCTGTGTGGTGCGGCCAAAAATCAGAAAAGAAAAGGTGCCCACAAAGACTAACAGGTATCTGAAGTTTCCGGCAGTTTGAGGCATTTGAGTAAAGTCCATCTGCCAGTCTTCAGTGGGACCAGCTCCTCTATATTGAGTTCCCACCTGGGGGTGTCCAGCAGCAGTCTTTGGATTATTTTTGGCACACACTGCAGCCTGGCCAAAGGCAGGGAGAGGTGGTCTGAGACTGAGGCCAGGGAGAGCCTGAGAAAGGAAGCTGGGCAACGGACTTCCTCAAACAGCAGCTGGTCACCCAGCCTGCGGCTGCAGGCCCACCCACAGCTGGTTCTGGGTGAGGAGAAGGCGAGGTGGGAGCTGACGGGGTGACCCCCCCTCAGGAGACCACAGGAGCCCCAGGGGCGCGCTGGGCGCAGGCTGTGAGCACAGCGGTGGCAGCCGGGGAAGGCCGTGAGAGGGGGCGGGCGGGGCGTCACTGACCACTCAGTGAACGTGTGCTGAAGGCCCGCTGGTGTCAGAACCTGCTTAGACCCCGCGATACAGACAGACCAGAAGGAGGCTTGGCCTTAAACATGACTTAGGCAAGTAAGGAAGTAGTGGAAAGGCAGTGCAGCTGAGGTGATTGAGATTAAGTCAGAGAACCAGCTGGCCAGGGCGGGGAGCAGGAGCAGGCCTGGATATCAGGGCCTGGTCAGGTACCACTTCCCGCTGGAGCAGCCTGGGCCATTGCCCTTCAGATACAGAACCTGGGCTAGACTGCAGGGCACAGGGAACCGCTAAGTGCCTTGAGGGAGGTGAGGGGAACCATAATTATTAAGCATCCACCAGGAGCCAGGCGCTCAGCAGGTGCTTTCTGTATCAATGCCTCTCAGATTCATTGTGTTTATCAAACTCCTAAAAATTTCATTAAAATGCAGTCTCTATGTTTCATATCTTATAATAACCTATAATGGAAAAAAAATCTGAAAAAGATATATATGTATATATGGATGTATGCATAACTGAATCACTTTGCTGTATACCTGAAACACTGTAAGTCAAATACACTTTGATAGAAAAAAAAATTTAAATAAAACAATGTAAGCATACCTTAGAAATATTATGAGTTTGGTCCCAAACCACTACAATAAAGTAGATTCACAACAAAGTAAGTTACATGAAAAAAAAAAACTAAAAATACAGATACCTAGAGATGACTTCTCTTTATAGCAAATAAAAGCTTAAAAGGCATCAAAAAAAAAATGCAGAGTCTGATTCAAGAGGCCTGGGGTGGCGGCAGCCTGAGGTGCTGCATCTCTGAGAAGCTCCCACCTGGGATCACACTTTGAGAAGAAAAACTGTAGCTCATTTCATATGCACCCCAGTGCTATCCAGTGAGTATTACGGGCTCCCTTTTATTAGCAGGAAAACCGAGGCTCAGTTTCCAGGCCTGCCTAAAGGCACATCATTAAAGAGAGCTACCCTGTTTCCTGCCCGCTGCCCCCCTCCCCGTGAGAGAGGTAACACAGTCCCCAAGTTAACACACTCCCTCCTAGCCCCTCTGGGTCTGCCCCAGGCTCTTCCTAGTCTCTGACTTCAGACCCTCCCATCTCAGCTGGCCTCCAGCCTGGAGCTTCTGAGCCTGCAGCATCTAAAGATAGTCTACCTCACAGGAAACCAGATACTATTGGCTAACTTTGCAAATAAGGATGCCCTCAGAGGAAAGGGAGATACTCTCTGACAGACTGTGACTGGGACAGGAAGGCTGACTGGCGCATCTCCACTGGATCCCTCCCCAGATCCAGTCCAGGTAGGAGCAGAGGGCTCATTTAGCACCTGTGGGCGTGCTGGGTGAGGCACTGTGGTCAGAGGTCAGAGTGGGTTAACGATGCTGGTTTGTTTTACTTGCCAACAAGGGAAACCATTTCCAGAGGATCTGACAGCCTAAATGTACTAGGGGGCTTGGTAGGGGAAGACAGTGACTGATTAGATCACTTATGATGTGTTTCACATGGTGGAATATGATTAGAAGTGTTAATAATTCTGTTTCAGGGGCATGGAGAAATGTTCATTAAAAAAAGCATCATTTAAAATTGCATCTGCAAGCTATTATATATAGGGTGGATAAAAAACAAGGTTCTACACTATAGCCAAGGGAATTATATTCAATATCCTATAATAAACCATAATGGAAAAGAATATATACATATATGAATCACTGTTCTATAGCAGAAATTAACACATTATGAATCAACTACAATAAAAGAAAAAAATTAAAAGGTAAGATTGCATCTGGATGATATTGAGGAATTATTGTTAACTTTCTAAGGTAAGAAACAGCATCAAAGTTATTATTATCATCATCATTTTTTTCTTCTGGCCATACTGCAAGTGTTGCGAGATCTTAGTTCCCTAACCAGGGATTCAACACCGCCAGGGCAATAAAATTGTGGAGTCCCGGCAACTAGGACCACCGGGGAACTCCCATTATTATTATTATTGTTAACTATTCACATCTCTTTTATGCTCCTTCTCCATGTATTCCTAGAAAGATTTTTTTTTTTAATAGGAGCAATAAGAATCCACTGTAGAGTCTGAAGCATACACATACAATTTGTGTTTCTAGGAACAAAATAAGTAAAATGGACAGCAAGCCCTTTTATGATCTTTCCTTCTGGCACTACCTTATTCTTGACTTTCTGTTCAAAAGTGACATGTCTTTTCCTTGTCTAGGTCTTTATTTTTTTCCCTATAATTAAAAAAATTTTATTTTTTCTTTCTTTTTCTTTCTTGAGTTTTTTCTTTCCTTTTTCTTCCATGCGTTTTTGCACCATCTGCATTTTTTATAATGAGCATCTACTGCATTTATAATGAAAACTATTTTAGTAATAAACTGCTGATAGACTTTGATGTTCAACATTGACGTATGCTTTTATAATCACTGTGAGGACATTCGGGCTCAGAAGGTTTGTGTCATTGGAAAACATCATCTTCAGAAAGAAAGTATGAGTGGACACACATGTGGGTGAATTGCAACTCTTGGTAGGGAAGAAAACCTACACAACATCTCTTTAAGTATGTTCCTATGCCCTTTTGTCTTTTCCCTAAACCTATGTTCATTTGAAAACATAATACACTCAAAGGACAGTGTGCCGGTCAACAGCTTATAAACTGATCTCCCATCTAACCACCATCCAGGCGGCAGCAGAGAACCTGACCAGCCCCCGGCAGCCTCCATCAGGTCTCTCCCGATCTCCACCCCTGCCCTCCCAGAAATCACCCCAATCCTCACCTTTATGGTCACTGATTCTCTCCTTGTCCTTACAGCTTTACAAGGATTTTAAAGCTTTACATGGATTATCCTTGCCCATTTCTCACCTTCACATATGTGAATTCATACTGTAGATCTATTTTTTTGGTTTGCATTTTAAAAATGCATTCATACTGGGACTTCCCTGGTGTTTCAGTGTTTAAGACTCCACGTTCCCAATGCAGGGTGCATGGAATCAATCCATGGTCAGGGAACTCAGAGCCCACATGTTGCATAGCAACGCCAAAAAAAGAAAAGCATCCATACTATAGGGGATGTAGATGTATACACAAAAATGTTTATGACAGCACTGTTCACCACGGTCTCAAACTGAAAGCCACCCAAGGGTGCACCAGCATAAAACAGATAATAACCATGGGACACTCATATGGTGCAATCCTATTCAGTAATGACAATGAACAGACCACAGCCACAGCAATAACATGGATGAAATACAACCAGAAACACTTAGATGAATTTACAGGTAAATGCAAAATTGGCCCATATTCACAGGCACTTATCAAATGCACCCCATCGCTTTTCTTATACTCTTGTTATGAAACAATAATAAAAAATTCACAGAGACTGTATCTCAGACATTTTTACCTCCACAGAAACAAGCACAGTGCCTATTGTTGGGGAAACAGAATGAAAAGCAACATATCTGACCCAGAAAAACCTCTCCATGAAGACAGTAGAGAAAGAACTCTGTCATTATTGAATAAGAATTAAACATCATATGCATCACAGGCAAACTCCTACGAGGTAGCAAAGACATACAAAAAAACCTCACTTCAGACACAACCCCTTAGACACGTGTTCTCAAGACACTCAACAACTAGTGCTCAAGTCAGGGAACATGACAGCCACACACAATTCATCCCAAGTCCAGCATGGTCATCGGCACTGGCTGGCTTTATCCAGAGGAGAAACAAGCTGCTCATCTCTTTATGATCATAGAGGTAGTTGTCTAACTTGGAGCCAGGTTCCTGCCCAAGTCAGGCTCCTGTCCTCCCCCTGGCACTGGGAGTCTGGGCACCAACATGCGCATTTCAAAGAGACGGCTCCCACCTGGAAAGCTGCAGAGGAAATGGTCACATTTCCAAGAGGGGAGAAGGTACTCACAACTATACGTCTTCTAAAGTAAATGCTCTAAGAGAAAGGAGACAAGGGGACTCTTGTCCCTTATTTTCAACAGGCAGAATTAAGCCTCTTATTTTTAATTTTTACTCGTCCTTATGCCACTGTATGGTAAAGATACTTAATAGATATTGACTTAATCCACAATTAATTAATAAGCAAGTCCATGTCTTCTTCAGTTATTAAAAAAGGAAAAGTCATAAAGCATTTCTTTTCTGGATGTCACAGTTTACTTTGACAGAGATAAATGCCATGAAGGACGCTGCAGAGGAAAGCAGAGGGAGGCGTGTGAAGCCCAGAACAAAGGCCGGTTCTGTGCAGGGGCCTCCCCCATGTATAGTCTTTTCCTGTTACTGGTCTTGGGCTGGGGTGTGCATTTGGTTTGTATAAAACACTGGTGGGTGGTCATGCCAAGTCGTTCTAGGTCGATGACTTGCTGCAAGAATAGAGTCACTCCATTTACTGCATGGAGCATGCTGTGTAAGTTGTAAAATGTGGCCACTGCCCCTCAGCACGGAATTCAAGCCCCTCCATCTGCCTGTTTTTTGCCTTCTCAGCCTTAGCTCTCTCTGAATCCTAAGGAGAGGTCTCTTATAAAAATAACTATCACTGTAAACTGGAAAACCAGCAGGTTCTGAAAACGCAAGGGCTCAAAGAGCCAGGGGTGTGGACTTGGGGTCAGACTAAGAACCTTCCTACGTAGCCCATGGTGAACTCCAGATTTGTCAGAACCCAAAATTAACTGATTCAGCTCTCTGTCTCCAAGCAGAACTTCATCTGAATGCTGGGTGCCTGTGAGCCCAGAAGCTTCGCAGGTTGCGGGGCAGTCACTCTGTGGACACGAGGCCACACTTCCCCTGGCCCAGGACGCATGCTGCTCTTTTAGAGACTGTTCGTTTCCTTCTGTTCGGTCCTTGGAAAACTGGTTATCCAGAGCTGACCAGGCTCTCAGATATGGTTCAGTCCAGGACTTTCATTACCCACATCAAGAAACTGAGGCACAGCTGGGAGGGAGCTGCCAGCTGATCTCGGGGCGTGTGGACCCCTATGAAGTACACAGGTTTGAAGAGCAACTCTGCGTATCTGAAGGCAGGAAATAAGCTGATCCTTTAGCTTTCAGCCTTTTCTTCTCCAGAGAAAAGGATCTAAATTTTCTCACCATGATTACTGAGAGTTAGATTCTGAGGGTCTGGCAGTGAGGACCAACCACTTGGTCATGGCTGGAGAGGCAAATAATATCTCCTCCTCCTCCATTCCCCACCTGCTGTTTCACTGAGGGTCAGCCTCTGGGTCCTGAGTCTAAACCCAGGAACAGTGCTCAGGGCCACATCATGAATCTTATCCTTTAAAGCGGGGAGGGTCACCTCTACTATTTTCCAACTCTTGTTCTAGAGATGTGGCCTGCAGTAACCTGCAGAATTTCCCTCCAAGAGGAAAAAACCCGGTGCAGGGCAGGGAGCATGGCTTTGTGAAGAGACCCATCTGGCTTAAAATCCTGGCTCTGCTGCTCCCTTGGATAAGTTACTCAAGTCTCTCTGCTTCCTGGTGGTTATTTTGCAGTCATTTCCCACTAGGTGTTGTGGCAAGAATTAAATAGGGTCTTGTGTTCTACAAAATTCATTTTTACTTGACGAAGACAGCCGTGTGTACTCAAAGCTCAGCTTCCAGGTTCAGCCCAGACTCTCCCAGCTCAGTGTCATTTAGTAAAACGTTGACTTAATAGAACAAAGGGTGAGGAACCCAAGTGCAGTTGGGGGGATGTGTGTGGTGCAGCCTAGATTAGTGCAGTGGGACCGATGTTAATGCTTCATCCCAGCACCCATCCTTCCCCTTGCAACCCCATCTACAGGGACCTCACTTACTAGATGCTGCAAGGCTTATTGCATTGGATTCTTGCACTTGTTTCTGGTGCTCAGGGGCCAGGAGGCCAGTGTCCAGCCTGAGTGAAAGTCAGTTAGATCCCTGACAGCCCTCTGACCCCTGGGCATTGGCCCTACTCTCATCTGCTGCCAAGAGTCCTAATTTCAGGTTCCTGGCCCAGGGCTGGAATATCTCAGAGGACCTAGAAATAAAAGGTCCACCCTGCTTGGGCTCACCTTTCCTGAAAAGGTGCCTGGATAAAACTATCAAGTTCTAGACACTTTGTGTTATTTAACCCTTACTGCAATTCTGAAAGGAAACTTCCATATTTAATTCACTGCCCTGCTGAAGGGCTCCAGGGATATTTGTGATGAGAGGACCAGGAAGGTGCAGCAAGAGCTCGGAAAAGGCCAGGATGTCTGGAACAAACAGGTGGCAGGTGGCAAGGAGGTGCCTGGTCCCTCCTCTCTCCTTGCTGGGTGTCTGGCTCAGGGCCGCCATGTGTGTGCCCGTCCCCTTCTCGCCTGTCTCCTTGCTCTTTGGTGATCCAGGGACACCTGGCTGGAGATTTGTAGGAGGTCCCTGTGTATGAGACATGGTGCCAAGAGAACATCAAACCCAGCACATGTGTATTTGGCAAAAATCAAGTCAACCTAAAAGCACCAAGTTCCTGGGCTTTAGGACTGAATACAGGCCCCAAAGAGATACGAAATGATTTTTATTGTCCTTGGACTCCACTCTAAGTCAACACTGCCAGCTCCTGACACTGGGGGGAGGACGAGGAGGAGCGGAGCTAGCCCCAGCATCCCCAACAAGGACTTGACTGTTTGCTATCCTACAAGCTGCAAGTCCAGGAAGACGGGCTCCAGCTGCAAGCCACCTGCACCACGCGGCTGCTCCCTGCCTCCCCACGTTTCAGCTGAGCCATCTGACATTTCTGTCACCTAAAAATGGTTGAACATCAGCCACTTTATATGGTTCAACTTAACTTTTGTTGATTAAGATCATGGCTAGAGGATCCTCTCTGAGAAGAGGGCATTGTAGCCAAGAGCAGAGAGACCACACACTTTCCTGGGGCTGAGGACTCCATCCCAGCCTGAGATGGCCCAGGTCAGAAGGCCTTGGGCCACTTTGCCGGCAGGCTGGCTGAGACAGAGAAGTGGACCAGCATGCCACGCTGAGGCTGGGAAGACAGAAGCAAAGGGTGGGTCCTCGCTGCGACAAAGACACCATCTTGGTATAACCAGCATGAAAAGGGTGTGGGGTGTGGAAACTCCCTTGGTTAGAGAAGTGTGAGCTTTGGTTTGAGCTGTGCTGGGCGGCAGGCAGTGACAAGCAGGAGGTGTGTGCTGAGGTTTCTGAGAGCCTGTCTTGTGGTATCACAAGGAACAGGAGGGGCCCCAGAGGTCCATGGCGAAAGGACTCCCCTTGCAGACTCTGGAGTGAGTCCTGGCTGGGAGAAGGGAGGATGGGCAAGTGTCACTTCCCAACCTGAGCAGAAATGTCTTGCCTTTCCATTTCTGTCCAGAAAGAAACAGAAAAAGAACAGTGGGGGAGGGGAGGCCACAGTGAAGCGCAGGACTGGTGATTATTAACTAGCTCCTGGGACCCGAGGCTACAGGCTAACTGAGCCCGTCCTCCATCTGGGATCTGCTGGCCCCTTCATAACTGCAGAGGCCTGGACGATGCTGGCACACCCGCTGCACTTGGGGGATGACCGGTCATCCCTGCTGGCTTAGAACTTAGGGGTTTCCGAAAGGTGAGACTCAGCGCTAAAACCAGAGGAGTCCTGGGCAAATCAAGGCAAGGCAATCACCCTAGAGTGTCTGACTCTAGGCTTATTCCTTTAGGAAGGAATAATAATCCTTAAAGACTATTCATTAAGGAAGAAAAAGACTTGGTTCCTAGAGGAAGAGGAAAAGAAATGACTCGCAAAAACAAAGACAGGTCTCTGGGTGCAGGTCTGCCCAGGGCTCTGCGGCATCTGAGACCTCTCTCTTCAGTCTTCAAGCAGGAGAAAGAAGAGTCCAGAGGGGTAGGGAGGTGGAAGAAAGGAAGGAGGTGGAGAATGGCACTGGGGAAGTTTGAAATGGAAGTGTGAATTATGGCACTAGCTCAACTGGTAAAGAATCCATCTGCAATGCAGGAGACCCCAGTTCAATTCCTGGGTTGGAAAGATCCCCTGGAGAAGGGATAGGCTACCCATTCCAGTATTCCTGGGCTTCCCTGGTGGCTCACTTGGTAAAGAATCTGCCTGCAATGCTAGAGACCTGGGTTCAATCCCTAGGTTGGGAAGAACCCCTGGAGGAGGGCATGGCAGCCCACTCCAGTATTCTTGCCTGGAGAATCCTCATGGACAGACGATATATGGCAGGCTATAGTCTATGGGGTCGCAAAGAGTGGGACACGACTGAGCAACTAATACATACACTACCCCATCCCTCTCCCCTCTGCTCGCTCATGCTCCTCTCTCACCCATCCGCACCCTGGTTAATTAAGCTTGCTACCTTTCAGATAGACTTTTGAAAATCAAAGAAAAAATATCTGTCTCAAGCTTCAAAAGGCTGACGTTCAAATGCTAACTGAGCCATTTACTGTGTAGTTTCTGGCAAGTCACTGAGCACCTCAGAGACTGGTTTCCTCTCTGTCAGAGGGGTCTGTTGCAGCCTCCATCACAGACATTAAATAAGACTGCACATATGACACTGGGAAATGTACTGGTCAGACATCCTACCAAAAGTTTGTTTCTTCCAGTCTGCCTCTCCATAGCAGAATTCCAACTTTGTTTCTCTGAGAACTCATGCCATTCCTTGTCTTCCTTTCTCATCCAGGTGCTCACCATGCACACCACCCTCCCTGAATCAACTTCAGAAAACTTTGAGTATTATGACCTTGCAGAAGCCTGTGATATAGGGGACATCGTGGCCTTGGGAGCTGTCTTCGTGACCATCCTCTACTCCCTCGTCTTTGCCTTTGGCCTGGTGGGAAATTTGCTGGTGGTGTTTGCCCTCATCAACAGCCAGAGGTCCAAAAGTATTACTGACATTTACCTCCTGAACCTGGCTTTGTCTGATCTGCTCTTTGTAGCCACCTTGCCCTTCTGGACTCACTATGTGATAAATGAGCAAGGCCTTCACCACGCCACGTGCAAACTCACCACTGCCTTCTTCTTCATTGGGTTTTTTGGAGGTATATTCTTCATCACCATTATCAGCATTGACAGGTTCCTGGCCATCGTCCTGGCTGCCAACTCCATGAACAACAGGACCGTGCAGCATGGCGTCACCATCAGCCTTGGCGTCTGGGCAGCTGCCATCTTGGTGGCCACACCCCAGTTCATGTTCACCAAAGAGAAAGAAAACGATTGCTTTGGCGACTACCCTGAGATCCTGCGGGGAATCTGGCCTGTGATCCTCAATGTGGAAATAAATTTTCTTGGCTTCCTGCTCCCCCTGATCATTATGAGTTACTGTTACTTCAGAATCATGCGGACATTGTTTTCCTGCAAGAACCACAAGAAAGCTAAAGCCATTAGGCTGATCTTTCTGGTGGTTGTCGTGTTTTTCCTCTTCTGGACACCCTATAATGTCATGATTTTCTTACAGACGCTCAGTCTCTATGACTTCTTTCCCAAGTGTGACGTGAAGAGGGATCTGAAGTTAGCGATCAACGTGACGGAGACAATTGCATTTAGCCACTGCTGCCTCAATCCCCTTATCTATGCATTTGCTGGAGAGAAGTTCAGACGATACCTTTACCGTCTATACAGGAAATGCCTGGCTGTCCTGTGTTGCCATCCTGTCCACATCAGTTTCTCTTCGCCTCTGTCTGAATCACAAAGGAGCAGGCGGGAAAGTGTTCTGAGCAGCAATTTTACTCATTACACCAGTGATGGAGATACGTCCCTCGTTCTCTGAAGGGATCCCAAAGCTGTGTCCCTCCAGTGAGGCTGGAGTTTCTGAGTTGACACTGAATAATGAGGACAGATTTTAAAACTTCTTACATGCAAGAAATAATGAATCCAATGTTCCCAATACAATCCTAAAGTCTTTTTGAGACTTGTGCTCAAAATTTGAATGATGAAGAGTAGACATGGCTCTTATTGGCAATGTCAGGACTTCCCTGTTTATAAAGGACATAAATTCAACTCAGACTAACTTAGTCTGAAAAGAGGCAGTAACATTCACCTTGTAGCATGGGCAATGGGTGGTGAGCCCTCAGTGAGAAAAAACTAAAGACTGAATCCAGCTAGCATTTCTTCTGACTCTCAATTCTCTGAGTGGTAAGAGAGATCACATAACACATCTTTGTCATCCGAGAGGGAGTGAGACCCATCCTTCTCTGATGCCAAGGTCGAAATCCCCAGGGAAGGGCTCTGATTGGCCAAGTTTGTATCAGATCTTCATCCCTGGACCACGTGGTGGTATCCACAGAGAAGAGGTAGACAAGATGGCAGTTTCCATTCCAATACTGTGGTTGGAGATGCAGGAAGATGTATTTCCAAAGAGCTGAAGGTATGGGTGCTTCTTTGATCAGACTGAACAAGAATTGCTCACCAACTTTACTTGGTGTCTGGCCCAGCCTCCCTCCTGATCATACTGGCCAGCACACACTGCCAGACTCTTCTTCATTAAATCCTCTTTTGTCACGCCCCCAAACCTACAAAGGTTCCCCTAGCGTACACTGTATCAAGTCCAAACTCAAATGCCTGGCCTCCAAGATGTTCCATCATACAGTCCCAATAACAGATTTCCCAGTGCCTTCTTTTCTCAAAGGACTCCAGCTAACCCCTCAGGCAGGTCTCTTCTATCTGGTCCCATGCATCACCACCTGATCCAGAACCCAGGGGAATAAACAGAGAAAAACACTGGCCCAAACTGAGAAGGCATGGTTTCTAATCTCAACTCTATCACTTATCCACTGGATAACTGGGGGCCAACTGAGCTTAGTTTCCTCATCTGTAGAATGGAAATAACAGTTCTTTTTGTGTAGGAAGCGTGCAGCAGGAGGAGCCAGACTCCAACTCTCAGAGATTCCAACCCTCTTGCCAGGCTCCCAGACTTCAGCTTTACCCCCACCTGGCGCCCTGCTTAAGTGGTGCTGTTGACAGAGCTTGGAAGAGCCTCACAGGCTCTGCTGTGTGGTGCAGCTCTTGACACGGAGGAGGCTGACTCCCACAGTGGTGCTCAATGGACACTCCTAGATATACAGATTGATAGGCTTCCCTGACTCAGTCCTCCCAGGCTGGCTGGACCATTTCCTCCCAATCAACTGGTGACAACCCTACCTGGAGAGAACCTCATCATTCATGCCACTGCCAACCTGAACAGCCCGAGTCCCAGGAACAGCTTTCCCTTTCTCAGTTAACATTTGAGACGGTCTGAAACTTTAAAGCTTGAAAAATAATTGTGATGATGCTAAAGAAAATATCACCTATAATCTAATCACGCAATATCTTCATGTGCCCATTGGACCTTGTTCACAGCCTCACATGTTTCAAGTTGCAATCATAATGTACGGACAGTTTTATAATCTGCTTTTTTTTTTTCTCTTAACATTAGGCTACAGATAACGCTCTGTTTCTGCATAGTTTTGTAATGATCATTTTAGAAGACTGCCAGGTTGCATACTCACTGAAGGCATCTGACTTGTTGCTCTATTTCTCACTCCTTGGAAGTCAATGTATTTGTTTACCCAATGACAGAATGAATTACATTCCATTAAGATCATGTACTGCAACTTATCATTACCCTGTTAATAAACATTTCATGTGTTTCTAATATTTAGCACATACATATTTTACAGCACTTTTCTGTGTAATTTCCTTTCTCCCCTTCAATGACTTCCTTTGGATGAATTCCTTGCCATGGGGCTAACTGGGCCAAAGGGCATGGGTACTTTTTAGCTTTTCACACATAAATATGAAACTAATAAACTGCAAAACCTTTATTGAGCATGTATTATATGTAACATGTGAGCTCAAATCCAGAGCTGTTCCAAAGATGAGTGTGATAAGGCCTGTGCCCTCCATGCTTCAGAGGTGCTTGATATTTAAATGCACAACTCAGAAGTTAAAAAAAAAAAAAAAAGCATACTCTTACATTATTTGGTAACACAAAAATAAGGACACCTGACCTGAGTCGTTAAGGATCTTAAGGCCCCAACCTTAGAAGATCTTACCTGACTCTTATGATCTTGAGATTTTAAGAGAAAAGTCTGAGAACAGTGAAAGGCACTGGGAAGAGTATGTGGTGGGAAGCTGTTGGAGCTCTGGCTCAGACAACCAATGGAAGAGGGTGTTCTCAGGGTGTTCACAATTTCCTCCCTTATCACCTGATCCTTGTCCCAACTGTTGAATCATGAAATTTTTCATTAAAATTTTACCTTATTAGTGGACTCTTAAGAAAAGAGGAAAAAATTGTTTTGGCTTGAGAAACAAAGAAGGGAGACAGACAAACACTTTCATTTCTAGAAGACAATTAGATTTGTGTCATAAGAGACGTTCATTCATTTTGCTAAGACAGAACAGGGAGAAAATAAGGAAGGTCACTGAAAAACCCTAAATAGCTGTGATGCTGGTGTCTTAGGAAAGGAAGGCACATTGGAAAAGGACAGTTGACTCTAACAGCACAGCTGAATCAGATCCACCATGGCTTCTGGGCTCTGGGCTTCCCCAAAGCAGAAGGAAACTCCAAACACAGACAGACGTCTATGACTGAGTCCCAGCAGACTGACTCTGTGACCCTGGGCGAGGTATTTGACATCTCTAAGGTTCAGTTTCCTCATCTGGCAAGTAAGAATAAAAACAGTGCCCACTTCCTAGAATGATGAGGATTTAGTAAGATTACCTTCCCAAAGCTCACAGTGCAGGCTTGGAAAGCAAGGTCAGACAATGGTGGCAACTACTTTCTTTTATTATGATTATTATTATTAGATAGAATCTTTCCCAGTGAGGAAACTCATACTATATTGCCCACACCATCTTGCTTTTTCCCAGAATCACAGAACGGTGGGTGGTCAGAAATAGTTGAATACAAACCCACACTTTGCAGGTTAGAGAAAGGATGTCCAGAGAGGGCCAGAGACTGGCCCAAGACCAAAGAGCGAGTTAATCAAAGTGGTAGAGCCCTTAACTCTCAGTTTACTGACTTCCTCCTCCTCTTGATAAAAATATAGACCAATCCTATGGTGACTGCAGTTAACAATACTGTGTGGTATGTGTGAAAGTTGCTAAAGTAGTTGATTTTAATATTTAAGAAACATTTTCATCTTTATTTATTTATTTTATGTCTTAGACCAGGCTGTGCATGGCATACAGAATCTTAGTTCCCTGACTAGGGATCAAACCCGTGCCCCCTGGCATTGGGAGCACAGAGTCTTAACCAATGGACGGTCAGGGAAGTTCCTAAGAGAGAAGATTTTAAAAGTTCTCACAACACACACAAAAATAGTAACTATGTGAAGTGATAGATGTGTTAAATAACCTTTTTCATAATCACTTTACAATATATACATATATAAGTATACATCAAAAACCATAAAGATTTCATAAAAAAACTGTGAGAGTTAATAAACAAATTCAGTAAAATTGCAGGACACAAAATTGAAACACAGAAATCTGTTGTAATTCTTTCCACTAATGATAAACTATCTGGAAGAGAAATTTTAAAAATAACTCCATTAATAATTACATCAAAAAGAATATAATACCTAGGGAAAAATTTACAATAACCCAGATGTGAAGGGGGTGACAGAGGATGAGATGGTTGGATGGCATAACTGACTCATGCACATGAGTTTGAGCCAACTCTGTGAGATAGTGAAGGAAAGGAAAGTTTGGGGTGCTATTGTCCATGGGGTCAGAAAGAGTCAGACATGACCAAGGGACTGAAAAACAGCATGCTCATTAAATGACCATCCGAGGAAGAAGCTGGCTTCCCAGGAACTTTGCTACCAAGACAGATGGAGAATATGTGCTTATGGTTCCTGAGAAGAGCTATCATCTCTTATAATCCACTGCATCTGGTGGGCTTTCCATAATCTCTCTCTCTGCGACACTGCCCCTGAGCGCCAAGGGGGAGAATTCTCTTCTGGCCTCAGAAGGCCAACAACCACACCTGGGAACTTGGCAACCCAACTCTGAAAGGTCCACCTTGGGTACCACCTCACCCCTAAATAAAGTCTCATTAGTGCCCTCAAAATTGGGGCAGTCTGTCCCAACTCAGAAGCAAAAAGCAAATTTTCTTTTCTACCTGCATCTTATTCTCCTAGCTCATGAGAACCATTTCAGTTTCAACATGACCTGTAGTATTGTTAGTATTGTTTGCTTAACTTGCTGAGTTGGCAACCACATTCTGAGCTACCCAAGAGTAGTATCATCCAAGATCAAGTGAGAGGAGGAGGTCTTCGCAAATGTGGAAATACCCTGTCTCTTTTCAAGAGGCCCTCCATCCTGAGGAGGGTCGAGATGTTTTCTTGAGGATGCATGGTGCCATGTTTGTTTCTGCTATACAACACGCGCTGTTGGGCAAGAGCCAAAGTTCCTCCCAGAGGCACATCCTAGACGTCTCTAGAAACCACAAAACACACTCAGCAGAAAAATGACTCTTTTACCCCATATTTTCTCATTATTTAGGCAGATCAAAAAAAAATTTAATTCACATTTCTTTGACTAATGAGAAAGACTGTTCAGTTTTCAATGTGCTTGCTTGATTCTCTTTGTCTTTTTCTGATTATCAAAGAGATGGACAATCAAAAAATACAAAGAATGAAGAAGTGTATAAAAATTTTACAATACACAACATTCCACCTCTTATAGATAAAACATTGTTTAACACTGAGGTGGGTTCTACCATGTCCTTCTCTGCAGATACAATTTTTTAAATAAAAGCTTTGAGACTGTAACATACATACAGTTTTAGATATTTTTTCCACTTAACGTTATAGCATAAACATTTTCCCATGTATTAAACTCAATCATGATCTTAATGATTGCACAGAAGTCCATATAGACTTTATCTAGGCAAGCCTGTACTGATGGACATGAATGTATAAAGGAAAAACATGTATTCTTCCTCCTTCTGTGCAGGAAAAATCCAGCTCTTTCCTACTGTGTGTCTCATCTAGTACTTACACAGAACACTTCATTTCTGACATTTCTGATCACCAAATATATGTGGTGTCTTCTCCACATCTTTGTGATACCAACTGGGTATTTTACAATTTGCTGAATAACTTAATTCTGACACTAGTTACCTAGCGATCCCACGGGTTAAGGGCTCCGTCCCACAAGACCTCTCCACTGCCCTTCAGATGCCGATCACAAGTAGTAGGTCTCCAGGTTACCCACAACTTCTGTCTCAGTTGACTGTGAATCAGAGGGTCCCACAATTCCTCCTCAGGTTGGATTAATTTGCTAGAGTAGCTCACAGAACTCAGAAAACACTTCCTTACATTTACCAGTTTATTAAAGAATATGATGAAGAATCCAGAGGAACAGCGGAGAAGGCAACGGCACCCCACTCCAGTACTCTTGCCTGGAAAATCCCATGGACGGAGGAGCCTGGTGGGCTGTGGTNGGTTGCAAAGAGTCAGATACGACTGAGTGATGGAACTGAACTGAATCAAACTCCCAAGGCAATAGAAATAAAAGCATAAGTAAACAAATGGAACCTAATCAAATATATAAGCTTTTGCACAGTAAAGGAAGCCACAAAAGAAAGACAGCTTATAGGATGGGATAAAGTATTGGCAAATGATGTGACCAACAAGGGCTTAATTAATTTCTGAAATATACAAACAGCTTACACAATTTAACAACAAAACAAACAACCCAAATGAAAAATGGGCAGAAGACCTCAACAGACCTAACTGCTCAACATTGCTAATTATTAGAGAAATGCAAATGAGAAATGTAAATCAAAAATACGAGGTATCATCTCACACTGGTCAGAATGGCCATCATTAAAATCTCTTTAAATAACAAATGCTGGAGAAGGTGTGGAGAAAAGGGAACCCTTTTACACTGTTAGTAGGAATGTAAGTTAGTAGAGCCACTATGGAAAACAGTGTGGAGGTTCTTCAGAAAACTAAAAGTAGAGTTGCCATATGATCCAGCATGGAGTAGGTAATGGCAACCCATTCCAGTATTCTTTCCAGGAAAATTCCACAGACACAGGAGCCTGGCAGGCTACAGTCCATTGGGTTGCAAAGAGGAGGAGCCCCACTGACTAAGCACACACACACATGATCCAGCAATCCCATTCCTGGGCATATATTCAGACAAAACTCTAATCCAAAAAGATACATGCACCCCTCCCTATGTTCATTACAGCACTATTCACAATAGTCAAGACATGGAGACAACCTAAATGTCCATCAACAGAGGAATAGATAAAGATGATGTGGTACATATACATACAATGGAATACTACTCAGCCATTAAAAAGAATGAAATCATGCCATTTGCAGCAACATGGATGCAACTAGAAATTAGCATACTAAGTAAAGTAAATCAGAAACAGAAAGACAACAGTCAGGGGAACGAGGTCGTGAGGAAGCAGCGTGCGGTTTGCAGCCACCATTTCTTCCGCCTTCAGTCTGGATCTTTTACAGAGCTTCCAACAGTGTTATGTAGGGACAGAGCATCCGGAGGTTCACAACCTCTGTGGTTCGTCGGAGCCACTATGAGGAGGGTCCAGGGAAGAATATACCATTTTCAGTGGAAAACAAGTGGAGGTTACTAGCTATGATGACTTTGTTCTTTGGGTCTGGATTTGCTGCACTTTTCTTTATAGTAATACACCAA